AATCAGCGTCCAAAACTGTACACATGGACCAGTTTTTATGAAAAATCTAAGGGGTCCCCCTTCCCCCAAAAAAACTTTGAATGCCTCTAGGGGCCAAAGTATATGTGGCGAAAAACAGACTTCACCATTAGAATCAGCGTCCAAAACTGAACACATGGACCAGTTTTTATGAAAATCTAAGGGGGTCCCCCTTCCCCCCAAAAAACTTTAAATGCCTCTAGGGGCCAAAGTATAATATGTGGCGAAAAACAGACTTCACCATTGGAATCAGCGTCCAAAACTGTACACATGGACCATTTTTATGAAAATTTAAGGGGGTCCCCCTTCCCCCAAAAAACTTTGAATGCCTCTAGGGGCCAAAGTATAATATGTGGCGAAAAACAGACATCACCATTGGAATCAGCGTCCAAAACTGAACACATGGACCAGTTTTTATGAAAATCTAAGGGGGTCCCCCATCCCCAAAAAAACTTTGAATGCCTCTAGGGGCCAAAGTATAGGGTAAGGTGCCTAATTAGCGACCCCCTTAATTTGAACCGTCATTGCTCACGCTCTGTAGGTGCCACTGTATTACTGACTTGATTTTCGGAGAGATCGTTCATTTTTCTATTAAAATATAGTCATTTTCTGCCCCAATATTCACTAACTTATTTGTAGTGAGCATTTTGGCAAACCATTGCAAAAAAACGCTAATAGGGAGCTCTTCCCGATTAGCGACCGGGGAGGGTCGCTAATAAGTCTATGGGTTTCCCCACATTAAAAATGGCGAAAAATGCAACGCCTGAAAAGATGAAATATGATCTCAAAAAGGTAACCTATACGCAAAGCACTCAATCACTCGAACAGGAACGTTTATCCAACACATTTACGTAAGTAAAAACTGATCACGTGATGCACCGAAGGCGAAAAGAAGGCGGAAACCCAAATTTTGCGGGCTATCTCGTATGATATTCGAGGTCCGCGCTGAATTCGGCACCCCTGCAGTCGGTGACGACATTTGGCATCCCCTGCCACACATTGCAAGCTTCAGCAACACCTCATTTTCATTTCTCTCTTTTCCCCTTTCTTTCCCTTCTTGAGCTATTTGCGACCATGTCAGGCGCAAATAGGAAATATGAGTTGCGACACATTTTTAACCGCCATGCTCTGCACAGTTGAGCGATTCACTATGAGAAAACGGCAATCAATTGAAAAAGGAATGTCGATTCAAAATAAAAAAGGTGCATCATCCTAATGTGCATCGCTTTTCATCAGAGAGGGCCCAAACACACACGTTTTGGATAAGAAACTTAACATTTTTATTTAAACTCACCTGAAACGTCCCACCAGAAACATCGACGACCGGAAAATAATTTATTTTGATAACCAAAGTATAGCTGACCTTTTGACGATGTTTTTACCCCGTTTTCTCCTGCCAGTTTTTCTGTAGGGTGGTAGGTCGCAAATCGGAAAGGGTCGCTAATTAGGCACCTTACCCTAACATGTGGCGAAAAACAGACTTCACCATTGGAATCAGCGTCCAAAACTGTACACATGGACCAGTTTTTATGAAAATCTAAGGGGGTCCCCTTTCCCCCCCAAAAAAAAATTGAATGCCTATAGGGGCCAAAGTATAATATGTGGCGAAAAACAGACTTCACCATTGGAATCAGCGTCCAAAACTGTACACATGGACCAGTTTTTATGAAAATCTAAGGGGGTCCCCCTTCCCAAAAAAACTTTGAATGCCTCTAGGGGCCAAAGTATATGTAATATGTGGCGAAAAACAGACTTCACCATTGGAATCAGCGTCCAAAACTGTACACATGGACCAGTTTTTATGAAAATCTAAGGGGGTCCGAATGTGATTCTGAAAGTGAATCTGAATCTGAGGCTGTCTTGACAGACGTAAAAAGAACTCAATGAATTAAACGATTCCGTCCTTATTGGTTATCATAAAGGTTCCGTCCCTCTACCCCTCCCCCTTCGTTGTTTTGCTAGGATGCGTTTTTCGGCTAAATGATCAAGAGCTTTAGTAAATGAAACAGGAATTATTTCCTGCGATATTTTCTTATAAATTTCGTCACAAAGAATGCAGTAAGACTAAGAAAATACTATGTGATCGCTATATAGGTATAATAAAATGAGAATCTGCAATTATTTGGGATCAAATTTGAATTTTTATGGGACCGGGGGCTGTTGTCTGCTACGATACATAGCCTTGGCTGCGATCAAGGATAATATAGATAGGCGAAGTATGTAATATGTTGTAGTCTTTCCTGCTAGGCTGAAACCCACCAAAGATTGTTTTGCGTAGGTATAAATGTGGTAATGTGGTATTTATATACACTGTGGTAATGCCTATGTCTTACTCAGTGATAGGGTGTCTAATAAGCGGTAAGCGAACAACGCAGACACCCGTGGCGGCTCGGGACAGGCGGTAGAGATAAAAGAGGAGGGGATACTGTCTACTGATAAGGCATCTTATCGCTCTGGGGACGACGCGGCGCGCGGCGAACGCGCGCGGCGGCTCGGGATGAAAGGGAGGGAGAGAGGGAAGGAGTAGGTAAAGAGAGAGACGGGGGGCGCAGGTGTTGTTTTGACGAACTGACGCTAAGGAGGGGGGAGGGGGAGCGGGGGAAGAAATGGCCTGTGGATCTTCTCTGTGTGGGGACAGCGAGGACAGTCCAGCGAGAGCGCTTGGGCCTGGCGGAGTGTAGGTATACGAATTTCTCTGCGTGCAAACAAGAACTTTAACCCGCGCGGGGCTGGGGTCTCCAGCCGAACGCGCGGGGCTGGGGGGGGGGTAAATTTTACCCCCCCCCCCTGTTATCTCCCGAACTAATGGTCCGATTTGGAAAATTCAAACGCCAATCGAACGATCTCATCACGAACAACTAAAAACATGTACTTAATTTTAAGTTTGAGGTCAAGGTCAAGGTCAGGTCAAGGGTACAAATTGCAAGTTCCTACAGTATCGGCCTTGCACCGTAGTTGCCGAAGAATGGAGTCATGGACTGAGACTGATCGCCCAAAACGTGTTCTTAGGCTACCAAGACAATATTCCTTGCATACAATATCATTCAGAGGTCAAAGTCAAGGTCAGGTCAGGTCAGGTCAGGTCACCAAAAACAAAATATAGAAAAGGGCATGTGCGACACATGTTTTATGGGTCATTTTACTCATAGAATTCAATAGGCACACTCAATAAGTGATATGGACCACCTCTGGATGAATTTCAGGGCGAGGTCAGGTCAAGGTCAGGTCAAGTGAGGTCAAATTTTGAAGTTGGTTGTTAAGGCCTAAAAAGGTGTCTATCTGATGCAGTTTTTCACGGCGAATCGAATGGTGCTATTTTTGTTTCCGTACGAGGTCTAGAACTTCCAAAAAAGTCATTTTTCAAATTTTTAGTGTGTCGTGACGTCATAACATTTTGAATAACTCCCACATTTTTGAACCGATTCTTCTAAAACTTGGTATGTAGGTGCACATAGACCACTTCTCTGACATATATTCCGGTTTTTTCGATACACTCAAAATTTTGGATTTTATAATTGATTTCCCAAAAAAGTCAGTTTTTTGAAGAAAAAAAATTAGGCCAAAATCCAAAATTTTCATAAAACCGAGATAGCCATTTGATAGACAAAGTAGAATTACGTATATCCTTTTTTTGTTACGTCTTGATTCCTTTAAAAATGAAGATGTTAGCGGCGTTTGAACTTTTGCCGTTTTTGAGGCGAAAATGGCGAACATGACGTCACTAAAACGTCAATTTCTCAAAAAAATTCCGACAGGTTTCGCTCAAATTTTAAGGGAACGTGTCAAATTGATGTAGGAAAAGGTACTGAAAGTTTGGCGGCGCGCAGCGCCGCCGTTTTTGAGATATTGCAAAAATTCGCGAGGGGGGGGGGGTAAAATTTACCCCCCCAGCCCCGCGCGGGCTAAGTGCTAACGAGAAGTTGCAGTGCCACGTGACTCAGACCTCCAACCGTGATACCAGTCGAGGCGCCAGAGGACACAGGACACAGGCCAGGTGAGGGTGGAGCTACTGGGAGGCAGTTGCAAACACCTACCACTTACTGGATATTGCATCTCAAGGTGTCCAATCCTGCCTGTTAATGTGTATGCCCGATAAACAACGATAGCTGCAGAACGATAAGGTGGCGGTCTATAGGTACCTACTTGGTCTGCATGTCAAATTGACTAATTTTCGTGTGAAATAACTCCCGACCAATGTCATACAGTTCACATATCGATTAGCATGCAGCCTGAAAACACATTTCGCACAAGTTGCTCTCGCAACCAGCTAAATATCGTATCAATGCCGTAAAAAAGCGCTGCTGAAGAGCAGCGCTATTTCTGATGCGTTATTTTTCACGAACAACGCAAAGTCTTACGTCACCAGAGGCGTCTTTGTCTCTTTATGATACGGAAACGCGTCCTTTTGGGTGGGGGTAGCGTCAATCTGGCTTCGTTCTTTTAACGGGTTCCGTCTTTCGTCTTCGTCCTTTTATGATAACCAAATTCCGTCTAATCTCAGAAATGACGGAGCGTCCCTCCGTTCTTTTCTTTATAAGAATGGCCAGGCGCTGAGGGCCGGGTTGGCCTGTGCGAGTACATGGTCCCTCGAACTGCTGGGCGGTGGGCTGGTCAGCGAGGGCAGGCTGGTGGCTCGCCGTCTTGACTCAGGGTTACAGCGGGGAGACCTGGCTCAGGGTCACCTCTGGGAGACTCGGGATGGGGTTACAGCGGGGAGACCCCGGCCAGGGTCACCTCTGGGAGACTCGGGATATGGCTGGGGTCATGACTCACGACTGAGGAAGTTCTCTGTGAGACAGCGCGACTCAGGCAGACAGGAAATTGGCTTGCTCTGAGCCGCCGTGTATGCCGTCATCGATACTAATGCAGCTAATGATGTGTGGTGTTCTTCTAATGCTTGGCGTGTATTCGACACGCTCAGAGAGTAATCAGGCGCCACGTGCGCCGGCGTCCGTCTCTGACCGCCCGGTGTCCGTGCCCAGACTGAACATCATCGGCGCCTCGGGTGTGGACGAGGCGGCGCTGGACGCGCTGCTGGAGTCGCTCTCCGCCGACAGCGCCTTCACCGCCCAGCTGCAGACGCTCGCCGACACCTGCCTCGCCGCCGTGAACCCCTCGCTGACGGCCCAGCAGCAGGGCGCGTTCGTGCTCGCCTGTCTGAGGCTCAGTCAGGCGTCCGAGTGCCAGCAGCAGGACGCGGACGCCTTGCTCTGTCTGAACGCCGACACGCTGTTTAAGTGCCCGATCGGCATCCACTCGCTGGTGCAGCGCTCGGCGCTCGATAGCTGCTGGTGGGAAACCAAGCTGAGGGTCGTCCCGAATGGGGCGGCCGCTCGGCCGGACGGCGGCTGCGCGGCGCGGGAGGAGCGCGCGCGCACCAACGCCAACTGCTCGCTGCAGGCGGCCGGCCTGGCCAGCGGCGACACGGTCGACCTGACGGCCGTGCAGGCGGCCATCACCGCCAGCACCGACACCACTGATACGGAGAAGGCGCTCCAGCAGACCGTGCTGAGCACGTGCCAGGCCAACGGCGCCGACACGGTGGACGCGTTCCTCGACTGCTGGACCACCGAGTCGGCCGACGGCTGCGTCACCAGCATCGCCGAGCAGCTGGCCACCGCGCCCGTGGGGCGCCCGTCCGGTGGCGTCCACCCTCTGGGGGCTCCACCGCACGGCCGCCGCTGAGCGGCCAGCCCGGCGAGCGGGGCGGGCGCCGTCAGCCTCTCCGGGACCGCACCCCTGACCGGCCACCACCGGCAGCCGTGCCCACGGCTCTCCGCGGGCTCTCTGCGGCCGACCTAATCCATGGCGGCCAGCCGACCCGCCGCGCGTGTCTCGCGGCCACCTTACATGACTCGCTCCGGCGTCCTGTGACGCTGTTTCTCTCGTCACTGCACGTCACACACGCACGTGCACTGGCAGGGACACTGCATATGTACGACTTCCTGTACGGACTAGACATGTCTTGGCGTTTGTATGATGCGCTGTGCTTTTGAGGCCGCAGTTTTGCTATTGCGACTTGCGAGTATGCACCGAGATGGTTCACAAATGCATTACACATGATGATGTTGAAAAGAAATATACCACTTTCCTCAAATTAGTCTTTTTGCCATAGTTTTATGATTTTATGCTTAGAATGATCGGAAAAGAAAATGCTTAATAGTAACAAAAGGAATTTGTAAAAAAAAAATGTTCACATAAACTTTATTCCATCCATAGTAAAGGTCATTTGTGTTTGCAGCGGAAGGTTATTACGCGTTGACCGATTATATTGTGTACTTCGAAACCAAATGCATGCCGAATAAGGCTGACGTTAGCTTCTGTCAGAGGTAGCTGCATTCTTGGCATTCTTCCGTGTTCCTGCGTGAGGCACAGATTTCGGAACAAGAAATGAAATATATTTGCCTCGGGTGAGCGCTGCGATGAGCCGTAAAGCTCCTGATTTGTGGTAGTCTCAGTTTTTGAGCTACAAATTACCTACAAAACTTCTATCCCAGTTAAAATCTCCAAGTGTACCTATATATTTCATTTAACGCGCGCCGGGCTGGAGGGGGTTTATGTTTGAACGCCCCCTTCCCCCCTGCAGTTTTTCGCAGATATTGATATCTCAAAAACGGCGGCACTGGCACACCTGTTCGTACATCTTTTCCGCACATGTGAAAATTTCAGACCCAGATCGTCTAAGGTCAGGTCACCAGGTCACGCCAAGTGACCTCACCTCAGAAAAAAAAATAAAAATGCTCGTCATAACTACACCGACTGAACGATAATTTTCAGCGATTGACTAGAGTAACATTATCTATAAAATGTTCATCTCGGAATTTTGATATCGGTGACCTAAGGTCAGGTCAATTTTGCGGCCTCTCCATTAGGTAGGTATAAGTCAATGGGAGAAAAGTGAAAAGCGTCTGTTTTGCGCGAACGTCATTCTAAACACTCTCAAACATCGAGATGTAGGTAGGTAAAATTGACACACTGAACCGGAAAATGACAACTTTGACCCCTCGTTATAGGTATGTCCCTGAGGTCACCTCAGGACAGGTCACTACCCAGTAGGGTAAGGTGCCTAATTAGCGACCCTTTCCGATTTGCGACCTACCTCCCTACAGAAAAACTGGCAGGAGAAAACGGGGTAAAAATATCGTCAAAAGGTCAGCCATACTTTGGTTATCAAATTAAATTATTTTCCGGTCGTCGATGTTTCTGGTGGGACGTTTCAGGTGAGTTTAAATAAAAATGACGAGTTTCTTATCCAAAACGTGTGTGTTTGGGCTATCTCTGATGAAAAGCGATGCACATTAGGATGATGCACCTTTTTTATTCTGAATCGACGTTCCTTCTTCAATTGATTGCCGTTTTCCCATAGTGAATCGCTCAACTGTGCACAGCATGGCGGTTAAAAATGTGTCACAACTCATATTTCCTATTTGCGCCTGACATGGTCGCAAATAGCTCAAGAAGGGAAAGAAAGGGGAAAAGAGAGAAATGAAAATGAGGTGTTGCTGAAGCTTGCAATGTGTGGAAGGGGATGCCAAATGTCGTCACCGACTGCAGGGGTGCCGAATTCAGCGCGGACCTCGAATATCATACGAGATAGCCCGCAAAATTTGGGTTTCCGCCTTCTTTTCGCCTTTCGGTGCATCACGTGGTCAGTGTTTACTTCCGTAAATGTGTTGGATAAACGTTCCAGTTCGAGTGATTGAGTGCTTTGCGTATAGGTTACCTTTTTGAGATCATATTTCATCTTTTCAGGCGTCGCATTTTTTGCCATTTTTAATATGGGGAAACCCATAGACTTATTAGCGACCCTCCCCGGTCGCTAATCGGGAAGAGTTCCCTATTAGCGTTTTTTTGCAGTGGTTTGCCAAAATGCTCACTACAAATAAGTTAGTGAATATTGGGGCAGAAAATGACTATATTTTAATAGTAAAATGAACGATCTCTCCGAAAATCAAGCCAGTAATACAGTGACACCCACAGAGCGTGAGCAATGACGGTTCAAATTAAGGGGGTCGCTAATTAGGCACCTTACCCTAAACATGCCGACGTCGGGCCGAGGCTTGGCCCGACGTCGGCCCAACGTCGGTTCAACCTCGGCCCGACATCGGCTGGACGTCGGGTATGCCCGCATGTTCCGACGTCCAGCCGAAGTCCAGCCGACGTCGAGCCGACGTCGGGCCGAGATCGTTTGCCGAGGTTGACGAGATCGTTTGTCGTTGGACCGACGGGGCCGACGTCGGCATGTTTATTGGGACAACGCGCCAAAAATATCAACCGGCGGCGGGATTCGAGCCCCCCAGTCGCCGACGTCGGCATGAGTTTACCATGGGACAACACGCCAAAAGCATCAGCCGGCGATGGGATCCGAACCCCGTGTCATTTGAACGCGAGGTTAGTGCGCTAACCACTACCTACACCACGCAGCCAGATAGAGAATTTAGTTTGTTTTGTTGGGTTATGCCCTTTCGGTCTGACAAGACCATTTCAGAGCCGGAAGGATGATAGGATGGAGACATTGGTCTTCTTGGCGAGCACCCTGGGTCCAGTTCATATAGAGTCCCTGGTCCCATTGCTGTTACGTGACACTTATTGGAAAGGGCGACCCCTCAATGGATTCATATAGCCACTCTTACACACCTGCACCAACGTTTCCCAAAGTGTTCCTTTGATAAGTGGCACTTTGGCAAAGTGACACTTGCCGACTGGCCTTTCTATATGAACTGGGCCCGGCCCTGGTGAGTTGCCGGGGCTGAGCCTGACCAAAGGATAAGCCGAGCACTCACCGCACTCAAGCACTCACCGCACCCGGCTACGGGTGAGCTCGGCTTACGGGCAATCCCAAATGGGATAAAGTTTCCCGTCCAGTCCGGATCAGGGGGTTGCGGCGTGGAGGAAGATTTGAGTTTCCTGAGGATATTTTGAATACAGAAGCTCTTTATGAAACATGAAACATGTATTTTATATTATTTTAACGGTCAAAACAGCGGCCGATGTCGGTCCGACGTCGCCCCAACGTCGGCCCGACGTCGGCTGGACCTCGGCTGGACGTCGGTACATGCGGGCATATCCGACATTCAGCCGACGTCGTGCCGAGGTTGGACCGACGTCGGCATGTTTACTGGGCCGCTCGCATTAGCCGCGCGTTCGCAAGCTTTTCGTGGTTTCAAACGTTCAAACATGTGATTTAATGTTGCTCCCATGCATTAGAGTGGATGTCAAGGTCACCTGAAGGTTAGGTCAGGTCATTGACCTTTGGTGACCTCGGTTCACTTTTTCGAGTTTACCTAATAGCTCCGTCGGTCAACCATGGAATATGGAAGGCAGAAACTTTCGAGGGTTCTATCTCGAGTACGGTAAAGATTCCCACGCTAGAGACCATAATTTTCTGAATCAGCGTGCTGAGAAGGCACTGTGAGCAAATTTTCAGCTAAATCGGGATGGCCCGCTTCTCGCTTCTTGCTCGCTTTCGGAGTCGCTGCTCGCTGCTCGCTGCTAGTTCGACAGACGTTGCATAATCTTATTATACATAATTGGCGCAGGCAAGGCTATTTATGGCGCATGAAGCTCAAGCATGCTGAGCGTATGCTCCGTATAATTGTGTTGTGTTGGCTGTGCTGTGCTTGGTGCTGTGTGTCATGTGTAGCCTGAAATCTGTAAAGTATTTTAATAATTTTATATTTTGTAAAAATTGTATTTTTCGAGGTCAATTCTTCGAGGCTGCCCCACACTCAAGGCTATATAAACCCCCACACTGGACCTCGCATGCGGGTTGCGAGTTTTGTGTGTTTGGGTCTCTTCAAAATTAAATAATATAATCTAAGCTGAGTAACCCACAGGCCACACTACCATGTAACAAGCAAGTCTGCATGTTTTTAGCTTGCCAGCCACCTCGTATCGCATTCCAAAAGTTGATTTTGAGTCAACTTTCGATTTTCCTCGCTGCGAAGTCTGCAAGTTCTGCAAGGTTTGCGGGTTTTTCGTTGGGGTCGAATTGTGGTTTGTTGCGCTGGTAATTGGTAGTGTGACTAATATGTCATTTTCTGAAGGTGTACAGGCTTCACTGCATTACTGAAGTTATCATAAGGGAACAGTCTAATCACTCTATGAATGAGTATGTATTATGCCCGCAAACGTAAAACCTGCAAACTCAAAACTTGCAAATTCGCAACCAGCATGTGAGGTCCAGTGTGGGGCGGCCTTTATTCTCAGTGTATTTAAACTAGGGTACCTTTCTCAACTCACCGAATTTAAAATTAACAAGTCAGTTGGGTAAACTAGGCTTCTGGCTTCTGGAATAAAAAAATGGAGGCATCAAAAAATTGATTCTTCATGACCATATTTGGGCATAATTGTAGACCATTTCTTAATCACCTATCATCTAAAAATAAGCCAGTGTCTCAAGAAGGTACATGCCTAATGTTGAACAGAAATGTTGGAACTCTTTACTGAGCACAATAATTTTGCTTTATTCATAGTAATCTGACTTCTGAAGGGTAGTGAAAGGCAATCAATAACTTGATTCACCTTGGGCAGATAAGCAAAATATTAATTCTACACTCAGCTGGCTAATCATTATTTTGATTCACAGGTAATGTTAACAGATAGGCAGCAATGGCTTGCAAGAATACAGCATTTATCTTGCTATCATTCTCATTTAGTGGCATCCTCAGCACCACAACAGATACCTATGGTATTGTTGTTATTTACATTCACTACATTTCAATTTGATAACAATTCACAATATTTCAATGCCAAGTATACAAAAACTGAAGCAACGGGTAAAAACCATATAATAAGTATAAAAACACTACAACAATAAAAACTAGGGGTTAAAAAATTAAGCCAGCAATGGGCTTCTCCCCCGCCTCCCGCCGCCCTACTCTTCTAGAATTGAGCTCGAAAAATACAATTTTTACAAAATATAAAATACTTTACAGATTTCAGGGCTTCTCCCCCGAGCTCCTCCGTTTGCTTGTGCTGGATGGAACTTGTGTTGTTTGCGGGTGTTCTCAGTTCTGTCCTGCTGGAAAACGAAATCGGTTTTCGGATACGTCCTCTGGACCCATGGGATGACGTCACTGTCAAGCAGACGCACATACATCGTCCCATTCACCTTCTTATTGGCGTCAATGAAGACGATTGGACACTTTTTGCCGCCCGACCGTGGGCTGTCCTGGATGGTCTAAGACACGGCAGTCACATTCTCAAAGTTTTGACTGGACGTGACCGGCCTGACCTGGGGACATCCTCCAGGACCACCCCTATTCGTATTTGGCTTTGATACGCGTAATTGTTGGCAGGGGTGGGGGGGGCTTCAAATTGTATCGCAACCTGTTCAATAGTCTTGCCCGATTCGGCCGCCGCGCGCGGGTATCCAAAGACAATGTGACGTTTAGCCTGTCTCCATGACTGGCCATTAATGGTCTGCTTTGTTCGACATCTGACTGTGTAGCAGGATCATTGAAGATATTGTGTGCGGCTATTAGTTTCCCGAAAAGCAACTGCAGCACGCGTAGGAGCGCTTACTGTAAGATGGCCAGAACTTTTTGCGCACCCTGTAGATACCTTTTATAAAAATATCATCTTTGAAAGTTGACCTTTTTTGCATGACCTTGCCCTGACCTTCACCAGAGCGTAACCTTAACTGGGCCCAATTTTCACCCAATCCACATAGTTGAATTTGAAATGTACAATTTACCATAGAACATGTATCACACGGCCCTGGTAGGGAGAGCGGGGTAATGACGGACGTTGGGCAATGCCGGCCAAGTAGGCTTTGACTACCACTCACCAGCTGATGTTGCTTACACTTCAGTTGGGTGCCAAAAAAGGAAAGAATTCGTTTTATTAGCTCAATTATTTTTATTTTATTTTAATAAGGATAAATGAGTTTGTCTAACCTGATTTATAATTTTTTTTTTTTTTTAATTTTTTGAATCGATACCCATTTTATGCAAAAATATCAACTTTGAAATTTGACCTAATTTGACCTGACCTTTTTTTTTTTTTCCTAAGCCGCCGCCCATGATCAGACGACCAGGAGTGTCCACCCACTGACCCACGCGACAACAGCACCTTACGTTAACACCTCCCAAGACAAAAATATGAAGAAAGTCGCGACACTCCCTGCTAAGAAAAAGGAAAGCAAACAAAACAAAGCTAAATACAATACTTAGTAAGTTAGTAAAATGTCATAAGAAGAGGCAAAGAAGTCAAGACTAAATGTAGCTTGACTGGCCGCTACACCATTCCCAAAGAAGATAGTGAGAAGGAGAGAGTGATCCAGGGGTTAGTGGTAATAAGCGCATGCAAAGCTTGCATCATAGAAGAGGGACAGAGCCTAGTCACACCCGGAGGAGTCAGATCCTCACCGAAAAGGGATACCGAGCTAAGCAAGCTTGTTGCTCGGTAAACCCAGTTCGGTGGGAAGTATCGTAGGGCTGATTTACGTATTGTTACGTATCCAGGAGAACTTAAGTGTGACTTGTAAGTACACAAAACAAGACGAGACGACCGGTATACAAATAGCAAGTAATGTGAATAGACAGAAAGCTAGGTCATTGAGCGATGGCGATGATTCAAAGACATACAGTTAGTACTGTACGTACTGTATGATGTTTATAGGGAGAAAAAGCAAAGCTTAACAAAAAGAAAAGGGCAAAACAAAAATGTGGGATAAAAGTTCGAGAAGAAGTAAAAGACAAACAGGGAAAAGACATAAGGACCACTAAATACCACCACCTCTTGTGGCGATCTAGGTACCCAGTTAGAACATACCTACCCAGTTACAGAGATGTACAATGCTCCAAAATTAGGTATGCATAAGTGATATGCATTAAAGACAAATTCTGTAATTGTGTACATATAACTATGTACTGTGCAAGTATGTACCTGTGAGAGAGCGGGTAAAAAATACATTATCAGGTAAATGTACGTACATACCCACAATAAATAAAATGGGGGATCATTTCATTGGCAGGTATTCGTATGTTTACGAACGCAGGTGGAACTTGTTTGCATGTATCGCTGAATGTGGTTACGCGAGAAGTCATTTTCAGAAGTGTTGCTTCGTAATATTTCTCCATAGGTATAGGCTTTCTCCGGCGACTACCGAAAGTGGGACGGTTGTGACGCATAGTTTGTTTGTTGTATACATTTTTTGGAACTGACTTCGGGCTAACGCCGGACACGTGTCCGGCATCACCCTGAATCATATATATGAAATCATACATATATAACATTTTTGCAACATATCTAACATGCTATGGTTGCATGGCATGCATATATAATATACAATGCGGGGTAAAACAGTCATTTATGATAGGTATTTATTTTTCTATGCTCTCAGACGTCTCGTTATTACGTCAATAAAACAGACAAGGCGCTGTGGTCTTCAGAAGCGATGACAAACGCGTTGAAAGCTTTGGAGAGAGGCAGCTCCCTTCTTGGGGCCACCGAAATGCTTGCTGCTGAATGCAAGTGCCGTTTCAGAGTTTTCAATGTAATTTCTTGATTGGCCACTGCTATTGTATCTCGTCCCGCATTACCCCACACTTTTTGCAAAGTTAAATTTTCACCACTTTTTTCGTTAGGCTCTCAACGTCTCATCAACGGGTCGAACCTTACGAAATAGCTGAGTTTTGGCGCAAGCTGCTTACGGTGTCGCCATTGTCCCGCTCTCCCCTATAGTTTAGTTCATATTGTGACCCCTAGTGGCCTGACCTCTGTGACCTGACCAGATCAGTGACTGGTTTAGCAAAATATGTATTAGACAACCAATGTAATATGAATGATTTTGGATAACATGACTTTACTCGATGCGCTTTCACTTTCTTACACCTGCGCTTTCTTACGCTTACACTCGTAACACTTTCTTGGAAAGCCTGTAAACGTTCCAAAATGCGACCTGACCCGTGGCATCATCGGTTACACCTAGGTCAGTGAATGTCGGTCACGTGATATTTCCGGGTGGGGCTGTCGAACACCGCTTGAATTTCTTGAATTTTGAAAATCGGTCGGTAACTTTTCGAGATCTTGCCCCCCCCCCCCCCCCCCGCTTATGGGTGGTAGGGTCCGGAAGTAGCTCAACGGGGCCCAGGCTAAGTGATCTGACAGTTGACACTTCATGAATATCTGACTGAATGCACTGTGTGACCTTTGATTTGCTTTACAGGTGAAGTGTTAGTTAGCTGATAAATATTGCTACGCAGAATGCCAAGAGTTAAGCCAAAACATGGAAAGCGATTATATGGAAATATGCCATATTCTCTTGATTCAACCCTTATACAGAGAGTCCGGCAGGTGAGTTAGCATCCAGGAGTTATTTTGTTGTAAAAGTGTTTGTGACTAGTTGCATTGGTATGGGGAGAGCTCCCATATTGCGCGATGTCTCCTAATTGCGCCCGCGCCATTATCTGCAAAAACAAAAGATCAATTGGTGATTAGTATACAATTAATATTCACAATCATGTATCCAATATTTTCCGGTCTACAGCTACTAGCGTAAGGTCGTAAGCCGCGTACTAGGAGTGGCATTGTAAAATGTGCTATTTTGTGATCTTGAACTTGCCTATTTCTGTATTCTGTATTCTGTATTTGCATTAGCCGACTACAGACCTTGCAGCCATTTACAGTGGCTGTCATAGAGTAAACTAGGTGACACAGCATATGCAGACGACGATGAAGACAGCACATTACATGTACAGCCCTCAGCAGTCTGCGTGGTAGGTATTCTTTTTTTCGACAAAACCGATAATTACTCAAAGGCTATGTCAACAGTCGGTCGAAACTCACTGCAAGTAGATGCGTCATGCTCCACTCCTTCGATTGAGTCTGTCACTAAACAAACTATACGGCTTGTATGGCACCAAAATGCAAAAGTTTGTTTTGGGGGCAAATATAAACTTTTGGGTTTTGTTGCTAAACTGGATGGAAAATGCATACGATGATAATGCCAATCTAAGGTGTGGTGCCTCGCGCCTCTTGCTGTTACGATTTTCGAGTGACCGATAGCATAGTATTCTCGTTATTCTCGGTTTTGTCGAAAAAAGAATACCTACCACGCAGTTTGCACAGGCCTGTACGTTCCCTGTCCTCCCCACTGTCCGGTTTCTCCCCACTGTCCAGTACCTCCCCACTGTGTCGCGGTACCTCCCCACTATGTCCAGTACCTCCCCACTGTGTCCAGTACCTCCCCACTATGTCCAGTACCTCCCCACTGTGTCCAGTACCTCCCCACTATGTCCAGTACCTCCCCACTGTGTCCAGTACCTCCCACTGTGTCGCGGTACCTCCCCACTGTGTCCAGTACCTCCCCACTGTGTCCAGTACCTCCCACTGTGTCGCGGTACCTCCCACTGTGTCGCGGTACCTCCCCACTATGTCCAGTACCTCCCCACTGTGTCGCGGTACAGGGACCCGCAGTTGCTTCTGTACACACTAAGTAGTATTTCAGCGTATTCTTGGCCTGTGACACCGTTGCAGGCGAATTGGGAAATGATTGTGTGCTTATTAAAACCACCATCTGAAGGGCTTTAAACTGATGTGCTGCTCTCCTAATTCAGTGAACTTTTTATGGCTATATCAGCAAAACATTGTTTTCAGCGCTTTTTCCTGCCCCATTCCTTCTAAAACCTGGAACCGCTTATTCCATTCACTCCTGCCATCTGACGATGGTCGTGCTGATTACTAGTTCCGGCGCTAGTAACTGCTCCAGCTTTGCACCCGGCACAAACTCAGGCGGCACCGGGCCGTGGCTCGACCAGTGAGGGTCGGACCGAGCCGACTGCCTGGGGCGCGGTTAGATCGGACGCCCTGCTGGGGAAGGGGACGGGAGTGAGGGGGAGGGGAGGAGGTGGTCACGTGGTCCGTCCAAGCTCGCAGACGAGACGACCTGTCCCGCGCCCAGCCATGTTCCGTGATCCAAAATCGCACGAGAGCTGTAGAATGCTTGGAGGAGACGCTTCGAAAGCGAACTTCAGCAGCACTAATTTACCATATTCTGCGGAGATAAATGAATATTATCTTAACGCAGAAAAAATTGTATGCCTTAGCTGTATAAGCTGTATCCTTTTAAAAGCCGTAAATAGGATTATATTTAGGGACTTATAGGTTTCGTATACACAGTGAATTGTGTTACATTAAGCCGTTTCGCTCTTATGGTTACTAACTGAAGAGTTATCCTTTTTTCTCACAGGGAATGACAATACAACCAGTATAACGCCTTTTGGGGCGACTAACGGAGCGAGCGACAGGGTGGGCCTTGCACGTGCGAAATTTCGAGGGGGTACCTCCAACTGACTTGTGCACTGCACCCTACTAACCGGTCTCTAGCGATGTGCCAAATTTGAGCACAATCGGCTCAGCCGTTATCGAGATCTGGAAGCGGCGTCCTGCACGTGCGCACGTGCAACATGGGTCCCAACTGACTTTTGCACGGCACCCTACTAACCGGTCCCTAACCGCGTACCAAATTTGAGCGCAATCGGTCCAGCCGTTCTCGAGATCTGGAATCGACCCCTGCACGTGCGCACGTGCAGCAGCACCCCAACTCTGGCACATGGATATGCAGTGCCTAGTGGGTGCCTACCTACATGCCAACTTTCAGCGCAATCGGCCAAGTAGTTACCGAGATATTGCAACAATTAGAAAAGTGACACCTCTTCGTTTTGCACGTGGCACGTGCATAAGGGGTCACCCACATGCATCGGGAATAGTCCAATACTTGGTAGAAGGAATGAAGCTACCCTACAAAAATTACCGCATGTAAATCGGTCAAGTGGTTGCTGAGATATAAGCCTCGCAAAAGCGTCCGCACGGCCGGCCGCTCATACTCAGAAATTTCCGTTATTCTACGTAAGACTCCGCTCGCTTCGCTCGCTCCGTAATAACAATACGAATAAAACCAGACGTTTCGCACAAAAAAGTGCCTCCGTCAGTGGCAAGAAATAAGTAACTAGGCTGACATGTTTTCTTTCGATAAAATCGATGAAGTAGTTATCTTTACTTTTTTTTAGATATATTTTCAGCAGTTTTTTAAGCACATCATGGAAGCTTATAAACATTTGTGCATTTTATCGGCAACCCGGCTGCCCAGACCGAGACGGTGCCGCATATAGTTCTCATTGATGTTAAACCTACACTTATTTTTCTCCACTGACGAAGGCACGTTGTTGTCCGAAACGTTTGGTTTTATTCGCATTGTTTTTATATTGTCATTGTCCGTGAGAAAAACATACTCATATGGACTGGTCTCAGTTCATGTAGAAATTGTTGAACATTCATCAACACAGATAAAATGAACATTAACCCTCACCGCACATATAAGTAGAGGTAAATAGACCGCGCCCCCTGTTTTTCACCAATAAATCGCGGCAAAGCGAAGGATTGCGACGATTCTTTGGTGCCCTGGCGTTAATAAATTTTACAACTTCCCGGAAAATTAAATAGCCCCTATCATTTTTGCATCTTTTCCGAGATTTTTTAATCCCTGAACCAAATTACCTCTAACCTGTGATTAGTTTTCTTAAGATCATGTCAGGCCAGAATAGCAATTGAAAGTCAGCGCACATCTTCTGTGTGTTTCCATAGTCGTTTCGTGATTAGGGACGTGTCAACATGTGAAATATACTACTATATCTTATATTGTATCTTATCTTATGTTTGTTTCATTGATTGTTGTAGGTGCCAAGGTCACGTGAAACTCAGGCTAAGGGCATTTACTTGAAATGATCTCGGTTAACTTCCTTAAATTTACACCTTTTTACTGTGGTTTTTAGGAAGTGTTGGTTTGAAATTTAGCACCTATTTTAGTATTTGAAAACTAGGCATACTTAGGTATCAGTTATAGTGCCTATGCAATATGTTGCAAGGCTGTAAGTGCTGGTTAACATTCCATGGATAGCCGGCAGAACGCCTAATGGGTGATCTGGCGTGACCTGTCCTACCCCAAATGCTTTGATACATCATCTTTGATCAAAGCAAGTGCAAATTCGGAATCAGAAGCAAGCCAAGTCCCAGCAAACCTCACTTTTAGAAATTCAAGCAAGACCCAATTTTCCGTGCCTGGGTTATTAACCTGATCTGGGAGGTCAACATGACCTAGGATCTCAACAGTCAACATTGACCAGGACATAAAAATAATTGGCTTTCTCCTCGTCAGCGATGACCAGGACCCTCAAATCATCGGATTTCTCTCGTCACGAGCAGCTCGCTTTTTTTTTTGCTTTTTCAGCGAAGCTCTGGCTCTTTTTATCAAGGGCCGAATGGCTGAGGGTTTCTATTCTACGCCCCTCCGCTACATGTAAGACGCTGAAAAGAAATGCCTAAATGGGTGAGGGTTAAATATCGATTGGTTTTTTAAGTGCCGAAGCCTGAAGCACTTTAATTTACTTCGATAGCAGTTTGACCAACTAGCTCGAATACTATAACTTCTTGAACAATGAATGTAAGCACCACATAAAATGAATCGTGAGAGAAGCGGCTCAAGATTTAGGAGCTATGAGACACTTAATAAAAAACGGCATAGATTAGGAACTGCACCTAACTTGCACTGCTTTTTAAACCTTCTCGTTGCAGACTTGTAGATTAACCCTCGCCCGTATTGGTGTTTTTCCAGCCGCGAACGTTTAAAGGGGGGGGGGTCCGTTGGACCCCCCTTGCCGTTTCGCCCCTGATCGAGCTAGAGCATCGCAGAAAAGAAAAAAACGAGCGTGTTACCCGTCACGAGAGGAAGCCGATGATACCCAATTTTAAGGCCGTAGGTCATCGGTTGACCTTCCAGGTCAGGTCAATGACCCAAAAGTCGGGGAAAATCGGGACCTGTTAGAAAGTCGTAAAGCGTGGCTGCTGTGGGGTTTTTCTGGGTGCTGATCACGAATATCATGTTAGTTTTGATTACAGATGATGCCTTTATGCATTTCGGCCAGGTCAGGTCAGGTCAGGTCAGGTCAACCAGTAAGGGTATTCGTAGTAGGTGGCAACCGCCTCTGACAGCTTCGTAACATGTTACGAAGGTGCCAAAACTACTTCGTAAATGTTCATATGGTTGCTAAATTCGAATCCAGCTAAAAAAAACTAAACCTGAAAACATGTAAAACTCGAAAAAGTGAACCGAGGTCATCAAAGGTCAATGACCTGACCTGACCTTTCCGGTGACCTTGACACCCACCCTAATGCATGGGAGCAGCATCATATCCCATGTTTGGACGCTTAAAACCACGAAAAGACTGCAAACGCGCGGCTAATGCGAGCCAACATACGCCGAATCGCGATTCCGGCCAAACATGGTCTCGAAAAGTAGGTCACAGGTCAAAGGTCATTAAGGTCAGGGTCATGAAAATTTCAGGGTAGGTGTAAAATTGATAAAAGCGAGGGTACTGAAAGTTTCGTCGCGATCGGCCGCTTTTTACGCGAGTTATTCGCGAAAACCCTAGGGGGGTCCGTTCGACCCCCCCCCCCCCCCTATACGGGCGAGGGTTAAATTTTAGGATTGATTTCAGCGGATGCTCAAAGGATGTAGAGCTATTCATTCGTTCATTCATGCGACCATCCATTCATAAAAGAAGCCAGAGATAAAATTGTTCATTTTAGATAAGTGTGAAATACAAACTCAATAAAAGTTTAATGATACGGCAAATTTGACAGCTTTTATAATGAATAGACAAATAACTTTAACAAATCAAAGTTGAGAGCCCCAAATACGTAACACAATTGAGGGCATTTTAGGCCATCACAGTATTTGTCAACAATTGTTGTTGGGGGGACTGGGGAGGGTGGTTGCTGGCTCATAAACTGTCCCCCCCCCCAAAAAAAACGAAACCGATCATCCGCGAAAAGAACTATTGAGCTCGAACCGAGGTGACGAATCGATTTGCAGTTACACGCATGCACGATGACTAACGATACCACTTTTTGACTTCTTGTGTCAAATTAATTCCATCATCTGGATAGCACGTCAACATTCTTTTTGACATTTTGCAACAACCGTATACTATTTGGCGCGACTAGCCTCAGAAATGTTCTGAAACTAAAACCGTTTCTTCGCAATCAACTTGGCCCACGTCATCCCAGCTTATGCATGACAAAAATAAAATAATGCTTCAGGATCACTGGCCTGAATTCCAATGCTTAGTTTACTCAAAACCGGTGTGGCTGAGGCACTATTCGCTACATCCGTGGCGGCCACCATTGTGTTGCATTTTTTTTTTTCGGTAAGCTGTAAGTTAATAAGGAAAGGGTTGGTGAGTGGGTTGAAAACAGCCCTCACCCTCAACCCCCCTTCTTCTGGAAACATAAGTAACCGAAAGATCTGGCGATGGTTTATCCATCTCCTCTGCCGCCGCGCTGCTAGGCCTCGATTCGTTCGGTATGTGGAGTCCTGAGCGGTCCTCCCCGGAGGCAAGGTGAAAGGTCATGGCCTGTATCATAAATTTATACGTTGCTGAATATGTTTTATAGTTCTTCCAAGGCCTTGGACACCGTTTTATTATATCGGATAAGCACTGCACTTTCTTGTCAATCAATACATTTTAATAAAACTTTATCATAACCTCATACTGCGGCATTGTAGTTCTGCTTACGGTTGCCTCTTTATGATACGGGCCACCACCACCTCCACTGCGCTGGAGCTCTGGCGTTCTACCCCTCCCCGCTACGGACCGGCCCTCGGGCTAGGTGTGTTAGTACTGAGTGCAAACGTGTAGTAGTCACGTGACTTTCATTCACGTAGCGGGAACGGAAGCTATAGGCGATACCAAGGACGGGCTCTGGGGAGGCAACCGGCACGGAAAAATAGCACGATTGTAGTTTTGAAAGAATATATGTTGCGGTAAGAGGAATTATACAAAACATACGTCCTAGGAGGAAACATGTGTTATTCCTCCATACTTTGTGCTACATTTCCTTTCTCCAATGGCCAGCACTTAGCAAATAATAGCACAATTCTAAATTGGTAATATATGTGTACAGTAGCAACTGCGGGTCCCTGTACCTCCCCACTGTGCCGCGGTACCTCCTCACTGTGTCCAGTACCTCCCCACTGTGTCCAGTACCTCCCACTGTGTCGCGGTACCTCCCCACTGTGTCGCGGTACCTCCCCACTGTGTCCAGTACCTCCCCACTGCGTCGCGGTACCTCCCCACTGTGTCGCGGTTTCTCCCCACTATGTCCAGTACCTCCCCACTGTGTCGCGGTACCTCCCCACTATGTCCAGTACCTCCCCACTGTGTCGCGGTACCTCCCCACTGTGCCGCGGTACCTCCCCACTGTGTCCAGTACCTCCCACTGTGTCGCGGTACCTCCCCACTGCGTCGCGGTACCTCCCCACTGCGTCGCGGTACCTCCCCACTGTGTCCAGTACCTCCCCACTATGTCCAGTACCTCCCCACTGTGTCCAGTACCTCCCACTGTGTCGCGGTACCTCCCCACTGTGTCGCGGTACCTCCTCACTGTGTCCAGTACCTCCCACTGTGTCGCGGTACCTCCCCACTGTGTCGCGGTACCTCCTCACTGTGTCCAGTACCTCCCCACTGCGTCGCGGTACCTCCCCACTGTGTCGCGGTTTCTCCCCACTATATCCAGTACCTCCCCACTGTGTCGCGGTACCTCTCCACTATGCCCAGTACCTTCCCACTGTGTCCAGTACCTCCCATTATGTCCAGTACCTCCCCACTGTGTCCAGTACCTCCCCACTGTGTCCAGTACCTCCCCACTGTGTCCAGTACCACCCCACTGTGTCGCGGTACCTCCCCACTGTGTCGCGGTACCTCCCCACTGTGTCGCGGTACCTCCCCACTATGTCCAGTACCTCCCCACTGTGTCCAGTACCTCCCCACTGTGTCGCGGTTTCTCCCCACTGTCCAGTACCTCCCCACTGTGTCGCGGTACCTCCCCACTATGTCCAGTACCTCCCCACTGTGTCGCGGTTTCTCCCCACTGTCCAGTACCTCCCCACTGTGTCGCGGTACCTCCCCACTATGTCCAGTACCTCCCCACTGTGTCCAGTACCTCCCCACTATGTCCAGTACCTCCCCACTGTGTCCAGTACCTCCCCACTATGTCCAGTACCTCCCCACTGTGTCCAGTACCTCCCACTGTGTCGCGGTACCTCCCCACTGTGTCCAGTGCCTCCCCACTGTGTCCAGTACCTCCCACTGTGTCGCGGTACCTCCCCACTGTGTCCAGTACCTCCCCACTATGTCAAGTACCTTTCCACTGTGTCCAGTACCTCCCACTGTGTCCAGTACCTCCCCACTGTGTCGCGGTACATCCCCACTGTTTCCAGTACCTCCCCACTGTGTCCAGTACCTCCCACTGTGTCGCGGTACCTCCCCACTATGTCCAGTACCTCCCCACTGTGTCCAGTACCTCCCCACTGTGTCCAGTACCTCCCCACTATGTCCAGTACCTCCCTACTGTGTCCAGTACCTCCCACTGTGTCGCGGTACCTCCCCACTGTGTCCAGTACCTCCCACTGTGTCCAGTACCTCCCCACTGTGTCCAGTACCTCCCACTCTGTCCAGTACCTCCCCACTGTGTCGCGGTACCTCCCCACTGTGTCGCGGTACCTCCCCACTGTGTCCAGTACCTCCCCACTGTGTCCAGTACCTCCCCACTGTGTCCAGTACCTCCCACTGTGTCCAGTACCTCCCACTGTGTCCAGTACCTCCCCAATGTGTCCTGGTACCTCCCCACTGTGTCCAGTACCTCCCCACTGTGTCCAGTACCTCCCCACTATGTCCAGTACCTCCCCACTGTGTCGCGGTACCTCCCCACTGTGTCCAGCTCGCCCCCAGTGACTCCCCACGTAGCCGTCTCTGTGCCGCAGTACCTCCCCACCGTGTCCGGTACCTCCCCACTATGTCCAGTACCTCCCCACTATGTCCAGTACCTCCCCACTGTGTCCAGTACCTCCCCACTGTGTCGCGGTACCTCCCCACTGTGTCGCGGTACCTCCCCACTGTGTCCAGTACCTCCCCACTGTGTCCAGTACCTCCCCACTGTGTCGCGGTACCTCCCCACTGTGTCCAGTACCTCCCCACTGTGTCGCGGTACCTCCCCACTGTGTCCAGTACCTCCCCACTGTGTCGCGGTACCTCCCCACTGTGTCGCGGTACCTCCCCACTGTGTCCAGTACCTCCCCACTGTGTCCAGTACCTCCCCACTGTGTCGCGGTACCTCCCCACTGTGTCCAGTACCTCCCCACTGTGTCGCGGTACCTCCCCACTGTGTCCAGTACCTCCCCACTGTGTCGCGGTACCTCCCCACTGTGTCCAGCTCGCCCCCAGTGACTCCCCACGTGGCTGTCTCTGTGCCGCAGTACCTCCACGAGCTGGGCGACGCCAAGTACGTGGAGCTGGACGAGCTCACCGATTACCTGCAAGTCACCCACCGCGAGTACAAGCACAAGAAGAAGCTGCCATTCCGCATACTCGTGCAGAGAGGTACGGCCCGGCCAGACGAGTAGAACAGATTTACAATGTAGTCACATGGAGATTGGATTGGTCCGGCGCTCTGGATTGTGCCTTGTTGCTGTTGATGTTGATAATTTTTGATGCGGTATGATGGGCATGACTAAGGGAACTGCTAGCAGGTGATGCAATCTTCTTACGTTCATTGTTTTTCGTTTTTTGTAAAGACTTTTTGTATGCTTTTGTATATGCTATAATGATGGTTAATGGCGTTTTTGGTTTTAATTAACTTCTTGGGTAATAGCCAAACTTGTTCCTTACGCCAGGATTTTCGTGTTTTGCAGCGTACGAGTATGTTGCCACGGAAATGAAAGACCAGTTCGCCACAAGTAGTTCCGAAGAGGAATCTTTGGATGAAGAAGTAAAAGAACAGGTTGGTATCACTGTAGACATTTGCAGCTAATCAGAAAACATGTGTCCGTTTATGTAGGGCTTGAACATAACTCCATATTGCTTCTGCCAGTGGTATTGGAATTTTCTGCTCTCGCACATACCTATTCCTTGTTTGCAGATGACCTTCGCTGTCAACATGTGTCTGACATTGTTCCTTTTTCAAGTTTGCAGCCTCTTGCCTCCCGCCGTCTTTTCCGTACATCCCTCTGACAGAGCTGCGTCTCTCCCGTCCAACTCCCGCTCCCTCCCCTCAGCTGGAGGAGAACTCCATCAACAACTCGTTGACGGAGCTGTACGGCCGCCTGCCGACGGTGACCCGCTGCGGCGACCCGGTCAGCGGCGGCGCCGCACTGACCGGGTCAGCGCCCTCAGTGAACGGCGCCAGCACGCCGGCCGTCACCGTGGTCATCGACAGGTGAGACAGCGCGCCTGACTGACACCGTGTACAGTACACACAGCCTGTACATCGACAGGTGAGACAGCGCGCCTGACGGACACCGAGTACACTCAGCCCGTACATCGAGAGGTGAGTCGCGGAGCCTTACTGCAGTCAGACATCTCAGGGGCCGAACATATGACGTAAAGGATGAGTTGGCCAGTATAGGGCAGATGGCGGATTTATCCGGCTGGTTTTTCTGTGGGCGCTCCGTGTCGGGTGGTGTGTAGTTTTGGGTCCCTGCGGCAGTGACGTGCGGTCGCTGGACGGCCCGCTGACATTGCTCGGTGCCCGCTGACCCGCCTGTGTTCCGATGTGTGCTCTGTCAGGACTGGAGACGGAGGCGGGTCCGAGCCGCCCGCCGCCGCCGCCGCCGCACCGGCGGCGGCGGACGGCGGAGACACCAGCCCACCGGCGGACGGCGGAAAACAGACCAAGGTAGGCCGACGGACGGAGGGAGACAGACCAGGATAGGCAGACTGGGACAGACCAGGGTAGGCGGACTGGATACAGACCAGGGTAGGCGGACTGGATACAGACTAGGGTAGGCAGGCGGTGGGCGATGGGCGTCTGCTGTGCCGGCGAGTTGAACCGGGCCTGTTACTGCGCCACTGCGGCGAGTGACAGTACCACATGGACCGGAGATTTCAGGCAGATTCGTGTCCATGTGAATTGGTAGTCCCTGTATAGTCGCATGCTGTGACCCTGAATGATACCCAATCTAACAGGCATTATAAATGCAATGTTGGCTAATTTACGGTTTAAATGTGACTGCTTGATTTGCCACATGGATATTCGGCGCGAACAATCTCACGGACGGCTAGGCTGTTATGTTACGCTGCCTCTCCTGTTGCCTACCATTATCCAATAAGTGACGCGTCCTCTACTGATGTCTCTGATCTCAGACGCCGCGGCTGGGCAAAAGGAAAAAGGCCATGGAGGAGGAGAAGGACTTCTTCAAGAAGAAGAAGTCCTTCCAGCTGGACAAATCCACGACCACGTTTGACGACATCGGCGGCAACGACAGGGCGCTCACAGTGAGGTCACCCGCCCGGGCCGGCCGGGATTCAGGGCGCTCACAGTGAGGGCACCCGCCCGGGCCGGCCGGGATTCAGGGCACTCACAGTGAGGGCACCCGCCCGGGCCGGCCGGGATTCAGGGCGCCTCATAGTGAGGGCACCCGGCCGGGATTCAGGGCGCTCAGTGAGGGCACCCGCCCGGGGCCGGCCGCTGGCTCCCTCCGCCGGCCCGGCCGCGATTCACCGCTCCGATAAAAAAAAACAGCACGCCCATTTAGAGGCTAATCAGCGTTGCTTTACGGCCGATTGGCTGTTTCGTCGCGGCGGCCCTGTGATGGCCGCTGTTTTGTGGGTCCTTCAGTCCTGTGACCTCCGCCGTCTCTCTGTGACCCGTGTGACCTTTGCAGTCTCTCTGTGACCCGTGTGACCGCCCCCAGTCTCTGTGACCCGTGTGTGACCCGTGTGACCGCCCCCAGTCTCTCTGTGACCCGTGTGACCGCCCCCAGTCTCTGTGACCCGTGTGACCTCCGCAGTCTCTCTGTGACCCGTGTGACCGCCCCCAGTCTCTCTGTGACCCGTGTGACCGCCCCCAGTCTCTCAGTGTAACCCTTGTAACCTCCGCAGTCTCTGTGACCCGTGTGACCGCCCCCAGTCTCTGTGACCCGTGTGTGACCCGTGTGACCGCCCCCAGTCTCTGTGACCCGTGTGACCTCCGCAGTCTCTCTGTGACCCGTGTGACCTCCGCAGTCTCTCTGTGACCCGTGTGACCGCCCCCAGTCTCTCTGTGACCCGTGTGACCTCCGCAGTCTCTGTGACCCGTGTGACCGCCCCCAGTCTCTGTGACCCGTGTGTGACCTGTGTGACCTCCCCCAGTCTCTGTGTGACCTGCTGGAGGACTTTCTGGACCCGACGCTCTGCAGCGACGCGACGGCGGCCTACTCCCGAGGGGTGCTGCTCCACGGCCCGCCCGGCTGCGGCAAGTCACTGCTGGCCTTCTCCCTGGCCGGGGTAAGGACAGGTCACTGGGTGGGATAAGGGCGGGTCACTGGGTGGGGGAAGGACAGGTCACTGGCTGTGGTAAGGAGGGGTCACTGGCTGGGGTAAGGATGTTCACTGGGTGGGGGAAGGGCAGGTCACTGGCTGTGGCAAGTAGGGGTCACTGGCCGGGGTAAGGGCGGGTCTTTGGGTGGGGTAAGGACAGGGCACTGGCCGGGGTAAGGGCGGGTCACTGGCCGGGGTAAGGGCGGTCACTGGCTGGGGTAAGGGCAGGGCACTGGCTGTGGCAAGTAGGGGGTCACTGGCCGGGGTAAGGGGAGGTCACTGGCCGGGGTAAGGGCGGGCCATTGGCCGGGGTAAGTGCAGGTCACTGGCCGGGGTAAGGACGGTCGCTGGTGGGTTACGGGTGCTCACAGTGGACGGGGTACGGGCGGGTTATAGGCCAGGTAAGGGCGGGTCACTGGTGCGGGAAGGACGAGTCACTACGACTAGACTGGGGTAATGGCGGGTCACTGGTGGGCTAGGGGTCACTGTTTTGGTGGAACGGACCACCGCTGGGAGCCGGGATGGGTGCCAGTCGGTGCGTGGCGTTGGAAGGGGCAGACGCAGACAGGCCGCTGGTGTCGGTATAGGCTGCCTGTCTGCTTATCCTGCAGAACTGGAGCTGCCCGTGTCACTGACCATACCTGCCCTGACCTGACCCCAGGAGCTGGAGTTGTCCATGTCACTGACATGACCTGACCTGACCCCAGGAGCCGGAGCTGCCCATGTCACTGACCTGACCTGACCTGCCCTGCCCTGACCCCAGGAGCTGGAGCTGCCCATGTCACTCACCTGCCCTGCCCTGACCCCAGGAGCTGGAGTTGCCCAGGTCACTGACCTGCCCTGCCCTGACCCCAGGAGCTGGAGCTGCCGATCCTGCACGTCGCCTCCACGGAGCTGGTATCGGGCGTGTCGGGAGACTCGGAGGAGCGCATCAGGGAGCTGTTTGTGCAGGCGCAGCGCGCCGCGCCCTGCGTCCTCTTCATAGGTGAGCCGTGGGTGGGGTCTACGGCGCCCTGCGTCCTCTTCATAGGTGAGCGGTGCCGTGGGGTCTACGGCGCCCTGCGTCCTCTTCATAGGTGAGCGGTGGGTGGGGTTTACGGCGCCCTGCGTCCTCTTCATAGGTGAGCGGTGCCGTGTGGGGTCTACGGCGCCCTGCGTCCTCTTCATAGGTGAGCGGTGCCGTGGGGTCTGGGGCGCCCTGCGTCCTCTTCATAGGTGAGCGGTGCCGTGGGGTCTGGGGCGCCCTGCGTCCTCTTCATAGGTGAGCGGTGCGGCGTGGGGTCTGGGGCGCCCTGCGTTCTCTTCATGGGTGAGCGGTGCCGTGTGGGGCGCGCTTGGCTAAGCTACCGCTGGTCTGAGAAAGCCAGGGCCGGTACCAGAAAACATTGAGCGGACCCAGGTGACTGGTCAACCTGCAATCTGCAGGTAGATTAGAGAGCATGGAACCACCGGGTGACAAAATGCAAGCACGCACGGCTGCAAGCACGGCTCTCCTGTGATGAACGTCGGTCTCAGTCTTGCTAGTCGGCTGCGTGCGGTGCCTCTAAAGCCGGAAACAGACTTTCCGCAGTCAGCAAATCGCATGCGAGAGCCTATTCAAATACATGGAAGTACGCTCGCATCAATCGCACGCACCTCCTGCATGCGATTGATGCGGGAGTAATTTAAGTGTATTTGAATAGGCTCTCACATGCGATTTCCTGAATGCGGGAAGTGTCTGTTAACTGTTTCAGCCTTGAATGCGGGCGCTGAGTGACATACTGATCAGGTCAGGTCAGGGCTCCCGGTACCGGGGGTGTCTGTGACCGCTCGTCATTAGCCCAGTATGACCGTTTGTCACTAGCCCGCTGTGACCGTTCGTCATTAGCCCGCTGTGACCGTTTGTCACTAGCCCAGTATGACCGTTTGTCACTAGCCCGCTGTGACCGTTTGTCATTACCCCGCTGTGACCGTTTGTCACTAGCCCGCTGTGACCGTCCCGCGCCCCGCCGCCAGACGAGATTGACGCGCTCACCTCCAAACGCCAGAACGCCCACAAAGACATGGAGAAGCGGATCGTCTCGCAGCTCATCAGCTCGTTCGACGGTAGGCTCCCGGCCAATGGGACGTGGGAGTGGGACGGTAGGACCCGGCCGATGGGACGTGGGACGGTAGGCTCCCGGCCAATGGGACATGGACTATGGTAGGCTCCCGGCCAACGGGACGTGGGCTATGGTAGGACATGGGACGGTAGGCTGTCCGTCAGCGCTGGACTTCAACGGGCGCCGTATGATCGGCAACGGGACTGTTTGGACTCTCAGTAGTGATCATAACTCATCGGAGATGTCGTTAGCAGTTAAATTCTCGTCCAACGGCGCAGCATCACCTTTAGCAGCTGTCAAGCAGGGATTTTTGTTCTCTTTGTGGTTACGAGCGAGCGAGCGCAGCGAGCGAAGCGAAGTCTTTTCAATATAACGGAAAAATCTCAGTATGAGCGGCCCGGCCCGGCCTGTAACGCTTTTGAGAGGCTTATATCTCAGCAACCGCTGGACCGATTGGCCTGCGGTCTTTTTTGCTGGGTAGCCCCATCCCTTCTACCCCGTAATTGACTACTTTTGATACATCTCAGTGGCCGTCGTGGCACGTGCCACGTGAAAAGTCAAGGGTGTTCAAGCAGTTTTGCAGAAGTAATGATTTTGAGAGGCCCATATCTCAGCAGTGGCTTGAGCGATTGTCTTGCGGTAATTTTTATAGGGTAGCTGCATCCCTTCTACCAAAGGTCGGATACTCTTGATCTATGTGAGTGATCATTTCAGTAACACGGTAATTACTGGGGCGATTCCGCTGAAACTTGGCATACAGGTAGGCACCCACCAGGCAATGCATTCCCATGTGTTGCGGTTAGGGCGCTACTGCACGTGCGCACGTGCAGGAGGCGTTTCCAGATCTCGAGAACGGCTGGGCCGATTGCGCTCAAATTTGGTACACGGTTGGGGACCGGTTAGTAGGGTGCCGTGAAAAAGTCATTTTGGACCCCGTTTGCACGTGCGCACGTGCAGAATGCCGCTTCCAGATCTCAGGAACGGCTGGGCCGATTGCGTTCAAATTTGGTACACCGCTAGCGACCGGTTAGAAGGGTGCTTTGCGCAAGCCCGTTGGAAGTACCCTCTCGCCCTTCCGCACGTGCAGGGCTCACTATCTCGCTCTCTCGCTCTTCGCCCAAAAGGCGTTTTACTGGTTGGCCAAATTCCTTGTGTTGCAATTGTTCGTGTGCGAGGCTCATCCCTACTATTGGACCGTCACATCGCATTCAGCCAGTGTCCCCCAATCAGTGGTTGAAGCTGGCCACTGGCGTCCCCCGACCTTAGCCACATTTTGGCGTGCCTGACGCCCCTTGCGCGGCCCGCCACCTGACGCCGCCCGGCCGCTGTCCGCCAGCGCTGGCCAAGTCGGGCAGCTCCGTGCTGGTGGTGGGTGCCACCAACCTGCCCGACCAGATCGACGCAGCGCTGCGGCGCGCCGGCCGATTCGACCAGGAGGTGGCGCTCGGCATCCCGGACGCCGCCGGGCGGCTGGGCATTCTGCAGGTGGGACGAATGGGTATTCTGCAGGTGGGACGGACGGGTGGGTTCTCTGCAGGTGGGACGGACGGCTGGGTGACCTGCTGATGGGACGGATAGACGGCTGGGTATTCTAAAGGTGGCACGATGGCCCTGCCTCCGTCTGACGGTGTCCGGCTCCGTCCCTCCCCGTCTGACGGTGTCCGACTCCCTCTCCGTCTGACGGTGTCCGGCTCCGCCCCTCCCCGTCTGACGGTGCCCCTCCCTCCCTCCGTCCCGTCAGGTGCTGTGCCGGCACGCCCGGCTAGCCGAGGACGTGGATCTGCGACAGATCAGCCGACAGACGCCCGGCTGCGTGGGCGCCGACCTCCGCTCACTCGTCTCGGAGGTCACGCGCATCGCCAAGAAACGGTGAGCGCCGCCCGGCCGGCCGCGGCTCAGACGGATCGACACGGGACGGTGTGGCGGCTCGGAACGCGGGCAGTGTCGGGGTGCGGGGACTCAGGAGGGCAATCTCAGTTAGAAATGGAGTGTATGTACCGTATATTTGCCGCCCCGCCTGGTTCCTGCCGCTGACTGCTCCCTCCGCTGTCGGCAGGATCCGCGGCCAGGCCGGCGCCGGCGCGGCGCTCTCCGCGCCCTCGGAGCCCGGCCAGAGCGTGACCATGGAGTCGGCGCCGTCCACGCCGGTGGCGGCTGTCGCCATGGACTCTGCGCCGCCGACGCCCTCGGCGCCCGTCACCATGGACACAGAGGAGGCGGCGGCGGCGGCGGCGGGAGCGGGCGGCGGCGGCCGCAGCGCGCGCCTGCAGCACCTGCGCGCGCAGCTCCGCACCCACCTGGAGACGTTCCACGAGAAGATCCGCCACCGGCGCACCGAGCTGGTCGAGCTCACCGGCCAGGACTTCGCCGCCGGCCTCAAAAAGGTCCGTGCCGGGCGGACACACGGACGGAGTGGGACGGGGCGCGCTATTCTGGCTTTGATGCAGCTGTCTTCTTTGGAATTTGATGTGTGTTTTTTCGGGTTGAAGAAAGCTTTCCCGCGATTTGATTCTCCTAGTTGGCTGCAAGGCCTGTGCATGCCCGTATCGTCCACATTTTATTTGTAACGAGGAATGTTTTCGAGAAAGTGTTCCTAGATATTTTTCTACTAGGAATTTCTTCTGATTTTGTCTTTGATGATTTGTTAAAGCAATGTTTTATTCGTTTTGCCGCTAGGGGACTTAAATGCTTATCTTTGTATTTTGTTTCACGAATAGTCGATGAAAAGATCAGCTGAAAAATTAACTTATCATGCCTTGATGTAATGCATACATGTGTGTGACCTGAGCTGCACTGCTGGCTCCGCTCCCGGCCTCCGTGGCGTGCCCGGCGTCTGACGTGCCGACCGCGCGGCCCGCAGCTGCAGCCCTCCTCGCTGCGCGAGGGCTTCATCACTGTGCCGAACGTCACCTGGGCCGACGTCGGAGCGCTCAGCGACGTCCGCGAGGAGCTCAACGCCGAGATCCTGGTCAGTGGCCGCCGCCGGCAGCCTCTCTGTGGGGTACCGCCACAGACCACAGACTGCAGACTGCAGACCGCAGGCGGCAGGGGACCCAGTGCTTTGATGTGCGCCTGGGCGCAGCCTCTATAGCAACGCCACTGTATGCATATGCTATGTATATGAACGGGTGCCTAATTCAGGGCGCCTGTGACCCGTCCCCCTTCAGTCACAGTCCCCTGTATCCCTGTCACAGTCCCCTGTACCGGCCCCCAGGACCCTGTATCCCTGTCACAGTCCCCTGTACCCGGCCCCAGTCCCCTGTATGCCTGTCACAGTCCCCTGTACCGGCCCCCAGGACCCTGTATCCCTGTCACAGTCCCCTGTACCGGCCCCCAGGACCCTGTATCCCTGTCACAGTCCCCTGTACCGGCCCCCAGGACCCTGTATCCCTGTCACAGACCCCTGTACCGGCCCCCAGGACCCTGTATGCCTGTCACAGTCCCCTGTACCCGCCCCCAGGACCCGGTGTCCCTGTCACAGTACCCTGTATGCCTGTCACAGACCCCTGTACCGGCCCCCAGGACCCTGTATCCCAGTCACAGTCCCCTGTACCCGCCCCCAGGACCCGGTGTCCCTGTCACAGTACCCTGTATGCCTGTCACAGACCCCTGTACCGGCCCCCAGGACCCTGTATCCCAGTCACAGTCCCCTGTACCCGCCCCCAGGACCCTGTGTCCCTGTCACAGTCCCCTGTACCCGCCCGCAGGACCCGGTGCGGGACCCAGACTACTACGAACAGCTGGGACTCACCTCGCCGTCCGGTATCCTGCTCTGCGGACCGCCCGGCTGCGGCAAAACGCTGCTCGCCAAGGCCGTGGCCAACGAGGCCGGCATCAACTTCATCAGCGTCAAGGGCCCCGAGCTCTTCAACATGGTGGGTGGCAGCCGCAGATGGTGGGTGGGGGAGACGGGAAATATGAAGACGCCTTGCGCTCATTTGTTGCGGCTTCTATAGTCTTTACATGCTGAGTATGGGTCGTTCCGAGTGGAATAGCCAGCTGTTGCTGTTCGAGTTCACCCTCCGCTGCTGGCCGCCGTGTCCGTTGGTTTCCCCGCCGGCAGTCGGGGGTGGCCTCCCCGCCTCCCCGCCTCCCCGCCGGCAGTCAGGGGTGAGCTCCCCGCCGGCAGTCGGGGGTGGCCTCCCGCCTCCCCGCCGGCAGTCGGAGGGGGGGGGGGGGTGACGCCTGTCCGCCTCCCCGCCGGCAGTCGGGGGTGACCTCCCCGCCTCCCCGCCGGCAGTCAGGGGTGACCTCCCCGCCCCTGTGTGTTGCAGTACTTGGGTCAGGGGTGACCTCCCCGCCCCTGTGTGTTGCAGTACGTGGGTCAGGGGTGACCTCCCCGCCCCTGTGTGTTCCAGTACGTGGGTCAGGGGTGACCTCCCCGCCCCTGTGTGTTGCAGTACTTGGGTCAGGGGTGAGCTCCCCGCACCTGCGTATTGCAGTACGTGGGTCAGGGGTGACCTCCCCGCCCCTGTGTGTTGCAGTACGTGGGTCAGGGGTGACCTCCCCGCCCCTGTGTGTTGCAGTACGTGGGTCAGGGGTGACCTCCCCGCCCCTGTGTGTTGCAGTACGTGGGTCAGGGGTGACCTCCCCGCCCCTGTGTGTTCCAGTACGTGGGTCAGGGGTGACCTCCCCGCCCCTGTGTGTTGCAGTACTTGGGTCAGGGGTGAGCTCCCCGCCCCTGTGTGTTCCAGTAGTTACGTGGGTCAGGGGTGACCTCCCCGCCCCTGTGTGTTGCAGTACGTGGGTCAGGGGTGACCTCCCCGCCCCTGTGTGTTGCAGTACGTGGGTCAGGGGTGACCTCCCCGCCCCTGTGTGTTGCAGTACGTGGGTCAGGGGTGACCTCCCCGCCCCTGTGTGTTGCAGTACGTGGGTCAGGGGTGACCTCCCCGCCCCTGTGTGTTCCAGTACGTGGGTCAGGGGTGACCTCCCCGCCCCTGTGTGTTGCAGTACGTGGGTCAGGGGTGACCTCCCCGCCCCTGTGTGTTCCAGTACGTGGGTCAGGGGTGACCTCCCCGCCCCTGTGTGTTGCAGTACTTGGGTCAGGGGTGAGCTCCCCGCACCTGCGTATTGCAGTACGTGGGTCAGGGGTGACCTCCCCGCCCCTGTGTGTTGCAGTACGTGGGTCAGGGGTGACCTCCCCGCCCCTGTGTGTTGCAGTACGTGGGCGAGAGTGAGCGGGCCGTGCGGACCGTGTTCGCGCGCGCCAAAAACTCCGCTCCTTGCGTCATCTTTTTCGACGAGATCGACTCCATCTGCCAGAAGCGGTCGGCCACGGGGGACGTGAGTCGGGGGGGGGGGGAGGTAGGGGGCAGCAGGGCCGTCCGGCTGCTCGGGGAGGGACCATGCTACTGCCGTCCCCCAGCCGTGCAGTATCAGTGTGTATTTCGTGGGTGGGTGGATGGTGTAAGGTGGCCGAACATTGTGTGCCCTTTGTTAGCGATTGGATCCCATGCTGATTTCATGATGCTGTTTGTAATTGTCATTGCTGTAATTGGCATTTCCTTTCTTGTGTGAATATCACAAAGGTAGTAATTTTATTAACCCGCGCACCGACGGGGGTCTGCGCCAACTTCGCACCGACGGGGGGGGGGGCGGATGACCGCCCCCCCCCCCTGAGATCTCGAGAACGAAGCAAGATAGCGACAAGCGGTAAACGGCATCGGATACGCACGGTCAAGATCTACAATTTTTACTAAGGTCATTTTCAGGTCAGGTCAAAGATGACGTCACAGGGGTCGAAAAAGTCAAAATGGCGGCGCTAGATATGGAGTTTTTCTCGAATAACTTTCGAATTAGTCAAGATAGGAACAAACTAAGGGCATCATCGTGATCCTCTCGTCAATCCGCATCGAATGATATATATTTTGACCTCGAAAGGTCAAGGTCAAAGGTTGACCTCAGGTCACGTGACCGCGAGGTCATCATGCATGTCATTCGATGCGCCTTAACGAGCTGAACACAATGAGACCATCCACGCGGCTGTATCTTGTTCCTGTACGGAGTTATTGGCCAAAAACCTTTGGTGACCTTTGATGACGTCACATGACCTCACAGCTGCCCAACAGCAAAACAGACCTCAAGGTAGTGAAGGTTGATCTTATATGAGGTCATGTATGGTTTATGGGGCCATTCTGACCCGTTTTAGTGGTAAAAACAGGGAGTTGATTTTCCCCCATTGACTTATAATGGGGAGGTCGCGAAATTGACCTGACCTTAGGTCACCGATATCAAAATTCCGAGATATACAAATTGTAGCTACTAATGACCTAATAACATCCTGCGACTTTCAAAGGCCTCCGACATCTACTGTAGCTCTGGCACGGTGACAAAGTTTCAAAAAAGTGACTTGAGGTTGGGTCATTCCAAGTGACCTGGTGACCTGACCTTAAAAGGTAGGAGGTTCAAACTTGCACACCATGTGTAAAATTGATGAGGGAGTAGTCGTACCAAATTTCGCGGCGCTACGCGCCGCGGTTTTCCCGCTATTCGCGAAAAAACCTCAGGGGGGGGGGGCGGATATCCGCACCCCCCGTCGGTGCGCGGGTTAACGATTGGTGAAAATAAAATAGTTTGTATGCGCTATCATGCGTCCAAAAGGGCCATGAGTCACGTTGTAGCCGGTTTGATCCAGTCGCTGTCTGGTGTCTGTTTACTATGCTGTTATTTACCTCCATACAACAGCTGTCTGCTCCCTACAACTGTCCCCGCCGCCCCTCTAAACACCCCCGCCGCCCCTCTAACCGCCCCGGGCTGTGGCCAGTCGGGCTCCGGCGGCCGGGTGGTGAACCAGCTGCTGACAGAGATACCCCCGCCGCCCCTCTAACCGCCCCGGCTGTTGTCAGTCGGGCTCCGGCGGCCGGGTGGTGAACCAGCTGCTGACGGAGATGGACGGCATGGAGGCCCGCCAGGGCGTCTACCTGATGGCCGCCTCCAACCGGCCCGAGATCGTCGACCCGGCCATCCTGCGTCCCGGCAGGATCGACAAGCTGCTCTATGTGGGCCTGCCCGCGGCCGCCGACCGCGCCGACATACTGCGCGCCGTCACCAAGGTATCGGGGGCGTCACCAGGCGGGGGGGGGGGGCGGGTACACCGCGCCGACATCCTGCGCGCTGTCAAAAAGGTGGGGGCGTCACCAGGCGGGGGGGGGGGGGGTAGAGCGTCACCAAGGTTGGGGGGTCAACGGGGGAGGGGGCAACCGGGCCGGGGGCCGGGTGGGATGCGCGCTGTCACCAAGGTGGGGGGAGGGGCCGGGCCGACCGGCCGACATACTGCGCGCCGTCACCAAGGTGGGGTGTAGATGACGATGCTGCATTTTATTCGTTGTTTCTGTGTAGCGCATGGACCTGATTTTGTTAACCACTGGGTGTGTGCCCTATTTTATCGCTTGCAGCTATATGTTACTATTGCCTGCTTTCCCAACTGAGCTGGCACTTGTGTTTCTAAGCTGGCGAGCCAGTTCGGCGGACGCCGCCGCAGCCCCTGATCCCGGCGCCCCTGGCGGTCCGCCGCAGCCCCTGATCCCGGCGCCCCTGGCGGTCCGCCGCAGCCCCTGATCCCGGTGCCCCTGGCGGTCCGCCGCAGCCCCTGATCCCTGCGCCCCTGGCGGTCCGCCGCAGCCCCTGGTCGCCGCGCCCCTCACGGTCCGGCCCTGACGGCCCCCTGTGTCGGCCCCCTGTGGACTGCAGCCCCGGGTTACTGTGCCCCTCACGGTCCGGCCCCTGACGGCCCCTGTGTCGGCAGTGCGGCACTCGTCCGCGGCTCGCCCCGGATGCCGACCTGCCCTCACTGGCGGCCGACCCGCGCTGTGAGGGCATGACGGGCGCCGACCTGAGCAGCCTGGTGCGCCAGGCGGCCAAGGAGACGGCCCGCGAGCGGCTGCTCCAGGTGCACCGGCGACACTTCGAGGCCGCCTTCCAGCGCGTGCGGCCCTCCGTCCGACCCAAGGTGGGTGTGGCCCCGGGTGGGAAGCCGTCCGTCCGACCGAGGGCGGGAGTCGGGTCGTCTCAGTCCGGCTCAGAACTGCGAGGGACCGCGGGAGGGACTGGGGAGGGGTGGCGGGGAGGAACCAAGACAGGAGGGAGGGTCGTGGGGAGTCCTGCAGGCGGGCGGAGCGCCGGTGGCCGAGTTGGTTAGGCGGCTCCAGTGTGTGTGTCTGTGTGCGTGTGCGTGCACGTATTCGAACGGCGTTCGATGGCGTCACAGGTCAGGCCAAATGTCATATTTTTATCGTTTACATGCCTAGGAAATATGTTATAACATCGAGTAAAAGGTATGCTGTTGAAAGTCATCCATAGAGCATTGGTTGTCTAATATTTCGCTAACTGAGGTCACTGATACCACGTCAGATCACAGAGGTCTGGTCACAAATTGAACCCAACTGTACTAAGGTCGTATGATGTTTATTGTATGATCAATTTTACATTTAAAATTCAATAATGTGAGGCGACCATTGGGGCCAGTTCAGGTTACTGTCTGGTGAATTTAAGTTGATATTTTTGCATGGAAAGGTTATCGTGTCGTTGCAGCTCGTCACGGTGAAGCCAATGCTGGTCTTTGTTTCAAGCTACGTGGTCTGGAACGGTTAAAAATTGAGGTTGAAAATTTAACGTCCTCAATTTTTAATAGTTTTTTCGTCATTACTTTGCCAAAAATGGGGTTATCGATCTCAAATTTGGTATGTCGATGGCCGACCTTAAGGTCTATAACATATCTTCGAAGTTTTCCTAAGTTTGAAAATATTTTGAATTTGAAGGGTATTATAACGTTTTTTTAACTTTCAGGATTCAAATTAACAAAAAAAAAAACGAGATAGTAAATCTAAATGTAGCCCTGTTAATTTTACACCTTTTTAGTGTTAAACATTTTTGTGTATCTTCAAACCTGTAGGCGTGACAGCTCTTCCCGCAAATCTCTTTTCTGTCGAAATTCGCAGAACATGACGTCATTCTGACGTCATTTGTGGCCAGTCTATCACAGCCACTGGAAACTATTTTGACCACAAAGTGTAAAATTGATGCCCGAAGGTGTACTGAAAGATTGGTGGCGATTTCTGCAGTAATTGGGACTTGGGAGAGGGGGCGTCCCCCCCCCCCTCCACTCCCCTACGGGACGCGGGTTGACACTTGTGTGCAAAGTACTGTATTCCTGTTGTCAGATCATCTTGGAGCAGCGTGGTCCCGTCTTGTAGGCTACTGTCCGCCGCGGACATGTGTGTCCGTCCGCCGCGGACATGTGTCTATGTCCATAGCTCCGGTATGGCACTGTCCGTCCCTGTGTCTCGTCTGGTACCGTCCGCCGCGCACATAGCCCCGCCCGGTGCCACTGTCCCGGCGCGGAGGGGCGGCGGACTCGGTCCCACCCCGCCCCGGCTCAACCAAGGCCCTGGCTCAACTGCCTCGAGTAGTGGGAGCAGCCCCTCACAGCTGCCCCGAGTAGCGGGAGCAGCCCCTCACAGCTGCCCCGAGTAGTGGGAGCAGCCCCTCACAGCTGCCCCGAGTAGCGGGAGCAGCCCCTCACAGCTGCCCCGAGTAGCGGGAGCAGTCCCTCACAGCTGCCCCGAGTAGTGAGAGCAGCCCCTCACAGCTGCCCCGAGTAGTGAGAGCAGCCCCTCACAGCTGCCCCGAGTAGTGAGAGCAGCCCCTCACAGCTGCCCCGAGTAGTGAGAGCAGCCCGGCTCAGGTGCCCCGAGTAGCGGGAGCAGTCCCTCACAGCTGCCCCGAGTAGTGAGAGCAGCCCGGCTCAGGTGCCCCGAGTAGCGGGAGCAGTCCCTCACAGCTGCCCCGAGTAGCGGGAGCAGTCCCTCACAGCTGCCCCGAGTAGTGAGAGCAGCCCCTCACAGCTGCCCCGAGTAGTGAGAGCAGCCCGGCTCAGGTGCCCCGAGTAGCGGGAGCAGTCCCTCACAGCTGCCCCGAGTAGTGAGAGCAGCCCGGCTCAGGTGCCCCGAGTAGCGGGAGCAGTCCCTCACAGCTGCCCCGAGTAGTGAGAGCAGCCCGGCTCAGGTGCCCCGAGTAGCGGGAGCAGGCCGACATGTGGCCGTCTCGCGTGCGCTCTGTCACAGGTGTGGCGCGGCACAGTCTCTTTGTTGGAGTGGTGTAACGGTAAAGAAATGCGCAATACGATTGCCTCTTTCGCGCTCTTGTACGGGTCTGACGTTGTGTTGTTCGGTTCTGTACGGGTCTGACTCAGTGGTGTATGGGTCTGACTCAGTGATGTACGGCTCTTTACGGCTCTGACGCGCCTCTCCGTCCACAGGAGCGGCTCCAGTACGAGGAAACGCGCCGATTCTGCTCCAACTGGTCGAGCCGAGAGGCGAGCTGAGGGACGCCTCTGCACTCTGCAGCCCCCCGCCCGCCGCCTGCCCCCGCCTTCTGCATGTCCATTCTGTGTACGAGAGCTGGTACCGAATCGTAATACATTGGACCCATCCTGCGACAGATGAGCTTTGTGCGGCAGCGAGGGCATTGGGTAACTTTGCCAGTGGCCTCGGTAATGCTCCGGTATCTACATTTGTTTTCGGGACGTTAGTGATGACCATTGCGGACAATCTATGGACAGCTAAGATCTGTACCTAACTTGTGTAGTGCAAATCCCCCTGCGAAGTACGTATAGTAAGTGGCGCTGTTGGCCGAGTGTGGGTGGTTTCACCGGCTGTCGGGGGAGGGAGAGGGTCCACTGTCCACTGTCCAGTCCACTGGACACTCCCCCTCTGGGGCCACCACTACACAGAGCCCAGCTCTCGAGAGGGTCCCCTAAATCTGCCACAGAGGACACTCCACGTACCGCGCAGCCCTGCAGACCCGCACTGCGAGTGTACCAACTTTATATAGTGTAACATACATACACCTCCCGTCTGTGAATCAGACGTCGCACCGCTCTGCGCACCGCGCCGCCGCGCTCTGAATGGCTCGCAGCTGGCTACCTGGGCGCATATAGCCCTGGCGATGGACCGGTGGCGCCCCTCAGCTCGGGCCACAGCCACTCACTGCCGGACATCACATCACACACGCCTGGCACCCAGTGCCACCAGCGCGTCCCGCCTGCCAACGGACCGCCGGCGGTGGCGCGCGGCACGTCACGGCTCATAATCGCACACACCGCGTGTTATATTCAGTCACGGTCGTATGTGCGGGAGAAACAAAGCCCGGCGCCCCGACTGCCGCGGCGCTGCTCCGTTCCTAGTCGGTGGCCAGCTAATCGGCACTGCGCTTACTGCGACACGCTGAATGAAGAGCGTAGCGGACAGATCGCAGGTGTAGTTAAATGGCGTGCTTTGAAAAGGGCGTGTGAGCATAGCTGCACCGAGGTGCCTTTGATTTGCCGCGGCAGAAAATCGTGGCCGCGTGGTATGGTAATCTACGTCTGGGTTAACTTCAATGGTCGAAAGGCTCACCGCCAGTTGTTTTTGCTGAGCTATTTTCTAAGAACTGTTTTCATCAATGTGCTCCTAAGGTGATCATAGCTGCACCTATCACCTAAGGTGCTGAGCTGAGCAATGAGCACCGCGCACCCCCGTTAGGGTTTTCGAACGAGCCGAAGTTAGTATACGAGGGCTGTGGCTGGTCTGCCGCTCGCGGTGCAGGTCGATGTACCCGTCTGTCTGTCCGTCTGTCTGTGTCTGTCTGTCTGTCTGTCTGTCTGTCTGTCTGTCTGTCTGTCTGTCTGTCTGTCTGTCTGTCTGTCTGTCTGTGTGTGTGTGTGTGTGTGTGTCTGCCTGTCTGTCTGTCTATCTGTCTGTCTGTCTGTGTGTCTGCCTGTCTGGCTGGCTGGCTGGCTCAGTGTGTCTGTCTGTCTGTCTGTCTGTCTGTCTGTTTTTCTGTCTGTGTGTCTGTCTGTCTGTCTGTCTGTCTGTCTGTCTGTCTGTCTGTCTGTCTGTGTCTGTCTCAGTGTGTCTGTCTGTCTGTCTGTTTGTCTCTGTCAATCTGTCAGTGTGTCTATCTGTCTGTCTGTAGGTATGTCTGTCGGTATACGTCAGCCTGTCGGTTCCAGTAGACTGCGATGACCCGCCGGCCTGCCGTCCGTCCTTTGGCTCGCTCCGTAACAAACCAGATAAGCCGAGCAGGCTGAATGTAAACAGCGTACGAAACAGGCGTGAGAGTGCGCTCTGCAGGCCCGGTGTCACGGAGCGGGACCAGCTCCGCCCGCCAGCTCATTATACCACCCACCAGCCCAGTACACAGCACAGTACACAGCACAGTACACAGCCCACCTGCCCAGTACACAGCACAGTACACAGCACAGTACACAGCCCACCGGCCCAGTACACAGCACAGTACACGGCAGCAGCACCGCGCCTCCGCGCCGCCTCGGCCCGGCTGCACCGCTGGGAGAGTAGGCGGCGGTCGGCTGTGGCCAGACGCGGAGGGCCCGGCGGACGGCGCGGCGACCCGTGCCCGCCGGCAGCGCCTCTCAGGCGGCCGCCGGCCGTGCAGCTCGGACAGCCGCCGAACTGGAGGCGCCAAGACAGGAGATCGTCGGCGTCCGCCATCCAGTGGTGCGTCATTAAACGTCTCATGTTCGCCGGTATTGACCAATCAACCACTTCACTGGCGAGAGTTGCAGGCTTTTAGTTTTACAGTCTCCGACCCATGTATGTAGTAAACGGTTCGCTAAAATTGTCGGATCGCAATTCGCACGTCTCGGTCTATTTCAGCACGAGCCGAGGTTATTTCAGTGTTGCTTGTTTCACTCGATCACAGTTCACACGTCTCGGGCTATTTCAGCACAGGGCGGGTATTTCGGTACCGCGTGTTTCGCTGGCGCCGTAATCCAAACAGCGCCCAGCCGACCGTTCGCCAGAGTCTGCTCCAGGCAGCATCGCGCACACAAACCGTCTGATCGCCCAGTGACCGAGGAGCACCTCGGCACGCGGCGCCGTATGGAATAGTTCCTTTCCATACTACAATCAACAATTTTGCCGTTGCACTACCCAAAGAACAGATATAGGGGATTTATCCATTTTTTGCACGAATGTGCCCCACTCTCCCCTACGCACTACGCACCTCCCCGGGTGCTCTCGGCTCCTGGTCACAGCTGCCCCAGTATAGGAGTAGCCCGTTACGGCGCTGGCCGGCCCCGGTGACCGTGCAGAGGACGGTCCGCCGAACCCCCGGAGACGGCCGCTGCGCCGCCGCGCCGCCGCGCCGCTCCGGGGCAGGGTCTGGACGCGCCGGCGCCGGACCCTGCACGGTTGCGTCAGCGGCGTCGCTGGCCGAGTCTGCGGACAGCCGCGCCACTGTTGACCCCTCTCTGTGCGGGCTGTATACCGGCCGGCCCCGACCTCCCCTCCCCCCCCCCCCCCCGCCAGCGGCCGGCGCGGAGCCTGACCGGGCCCGGGGGGCCCTGCGGGACGGGACACGGCTGCGGGACGGGGCCGCGGAAACAGAGCTGGCCTGCTCACCGACATACAGCGTCTGAAACCTCCTCAGCGGAAAAGTGTTTTGAGCAAGAGCTAGCGATGTTAGCGAATACCTTTCTTGCTGATTTTAGTGTTAACCCGGCAGGCGGTGGGCCTCCCAGCCACCTTCCGCGCGGTGGGGGGGGGGCATTTGTTGCCCCCCCCCCCGTATCTCCGAAACTACTGGACGGATCCGGAAAATTCAAACGGCGTTCGATAACCCTGTCAAATTCGTGGAGGGAAACCAAATTTCATTGACCTCGGGGTCGCCGATGACGTCACAGGTCAGGTCAAAGATAAAATGTTTCACCGTTCACGAGGCTTCTAGGGAAAGCGCTATAACACCGAGTAAAACGCATTTTGTCGAAAATCAGCGATAAGGCGTCAGTTGTCTAGTACATATGTTGCTATTAGAGGTCACTGGTCATACCAGGTCAGGTCACAGGTCAGGTCACCAAGGGTCACCACATGAGCCCAACTTTACTAAGGTTATGCGATGCATGTTTTATGGCCAGTTTTTCATTTCCAACTCAATGGTGTTGGTTATAAGACCATCAGGCACGGTTTAGGGTGGAGGTCAGGTCAAGGTTAGGTCAAAAAAGGTCAAATTTCAAAGTTAGTATTTTTTGCATAAAATGGGTATCGATTCGATGCAGCTCGTCACGGGGAGGCTAATGGTATTCTTTTTTTTTGCGCTACAAGGTCTACAGGGTGATTTTTTTTAACTGTTAAAAAGTAAACGTCAATGGTGGTCCCTAAATCGAAAAATTGCGTGCAAAAAAGCAATGCACGTGATAGATAAATCTGGGACATTTTGTATGGTGTCATCATTTGTCCCTTTTAACCGACGGCCTCGGCCCCAATGGAGCCTGAAAATGTCCCACCAATCGGGCACGCATGGTCCACCGCCGTTCAGTAACGAACGACACAAAACGATGATTTTGAAGCATTGAGACAGTTCGAAGCATACGATGATCAAGGAGATACCTCAGAAAGACGTTAAATAACGCATGAACAAGCTTGTAGTCATAAATAACCTTCAAACGGTCCATCTGGCGTATGAGCAGCTTTTGAAGAATCAGTCTTCAGGGAGAAAGAAAAACAGCGAATCAGACACCACCAGGGCCGCCAGTATCAAAATCCTCGACCTGCCCTCCCTAAACTTCTAGTTTTTGGACCCAGGTATGGCAGATATAACAAGAAAACAGTGGAAATATCTGGCAGAACTAAAAATGGGTGATAGGAGCCTTTTCAGTCCGCCTAATGAGTATGGGAGTCCAGGGTGCTGTTCAACACGTGCTCAGGCGGGCTGGTTCGTATCGGTGAGATAGGGGGTAACTTCAAGCACAAGTAAAATACACGATAGACGTTCCTTCACATCGTGTCTGCATGAAATCAAAATGTCCCAGAATGCTCGTCATCCTGGCATATAATTCTGCAAGAGATATTTGCATTTTAACCCCACTAGACCTCATTACTTTTTAACAAGTAAAAAAAATCACCCTGTAGAATTGCTAAAAATTGAGTTTGAAAATTTGACGTCATCAATTTTGAACAGTTTTTTCGCTATAACTTGGCCAAAAAAAGAGGTATCGATCTCAAATTTGGTATGTAGATAGAAGGCGGTAGGGACTATCACATATATTCCGTTTTTTCAAAATGCAAAAAACTTTGGATTTTTTGGCTATTATATTTAAAAAAAAAACTATTTTTTATTTTTAGGGGTCAAAATCCAAAAAATTCGAGAAACCGAAATGGCAGTTTTGTAGCCCTGTTGATTCCACACCTTTTATGTCTGAAACATTTTTCTGCATCTCTAAAGCTGTAGGCCTGACAGCTTTTCCCGCGAAACCTTTTTTTGGGTCGAAAATGGCAAAAATGACGTCACTCTGACGTCATTAGCGGCCAACCTATCATAGCCTTTGGAAAAAAATTTTGGTCACCATGTGCGCTAGCTGCTCCCGGGAGGGTACTGAGAGTTTGGTGACGATCGGCGCAGCGGTTCTCGAGCTATATTGAAAAAACTAAAGGGGGGGGGGG